GGGGGATGTGTGCTCTGGGGTAGGGGGTTATTGAAGCTACGGTCCCTCTAGCCCCTCACACTTCACAGTCCCTGTAACTTTACCTTCATTAACATTGCTCGAAGGAAACATTGTATTTAACTGACAGTGGATTTCTTTAAAAGTAGGACGTTCCGTTGTTTCCCATAGCCAACCTGAAATGACAATCAAGGCTTTGTCAAGAAAAACGTTTTTAAAATTCTCCCCCTGCCCCAATGTGCAATCTCAAACAACCCTCCTATTTTTCCTTTCCTTCCTTTCACAAAAATCAAAAAACCGAAGGCTAAAAAGCCTGAATTGTCCCTTATTTCACAAGCAGATTTCTTTCTTTCTTTCTTTATGGACAATATTTAAGCACAGATGCCCAGTTCAGCATAGCTGGTTTAAATGGGCTCTGCATAAAACATACACACAGATGTACTTGCGCTTGTGAATTAAAGTAAGTCTTGATAAATTTTGAAAAATAGGACCACAGGTTTGTTAACCATTGGCTATTAAGTGCTACCCCCCCCTCCCTCCACAATCCATCTCAGAAAAAAAACCTCCCTCACTACAATGCCTAACTCAAATATCTCTTACATTTCTTCATTAGCTCGTAGACCTCAGGTGGGCATCCCTCAGGACACGGCATCCTGTATCCACTCTCTAGCATCTCGTACACTTGGGATAGATCAATCCCAGGGTATGGAGACATTCCATATGTTGCTAACTCCCAGAGAAGGATGCCAAAAGCTAAGAAATACATAGAAGAAAAAGAAATGAACAACAATATAGGATGGGTATCAGAATTTGGACAAAAACTGTGAAACAGAGCTCACTTTTGCTAGACATTTTCAAGAATGTTTTGCTCAGTGTCGCATGCAGGTAGAGTTCCTTGTCAGTTCTCTCCAGTGCTTTGAGAGTTTTTCTCTAGTATTGATCCCTCCACAAAAATAGCCATTAGTTAATTGGCTCAAGAAGGAGAAGAGAAAAAGGCGATAGTGGAGGTGATAATGGTCATGAATGATAATGATTATAAAGATGATGATGACGATAGTCATGGATAATGCTACATGATGGCAAAGATGATTATTATGGAGGTTTTCAATGATTATGTTGTATGGTGATAATGATAATGATAGTCATAAATAATGTTACATGATGGAAAAGATGATTATTATGGGGGTTGTCAATGATTATGTTGTATGGTGATATAGGATAGTGATAGTCATGGATAATGTTACATGATGGAAAAGATGATTATTATGGAGGTTGTCAATGATCATGATGTATGGTGATGATGATACTAACAGTCATGGACAATGTTACATGATGGAAAAGATGATTATTATGGAGATTGTCAATGATTATGATGTATGGTGATAATGATAATGATAGTCATGGACAATGTTACATGATGGCAAAGATGAGGATGGTCATGAATGATGATATTAGGCCCTGGCTAAACAAGAAAACATGTTTCCAGAAACATGTTTTCTTAAATGTTTCCAAAGGTGGCAAAACTGTCAGGAAACATCGGGAAACATGCTTGCTCAACATTGGTTACTAGCGTATGCACACTTTCAAGATAGAGCTAGCGTTGCTAAGTAACGCATTTTTAGAATGTTGACTTTCGTGGCTAAACGTGGAAACATTGGGAAATATTGTTTCCATGTGTCTTGGAAGCATGAAATGTTTCTGCCGCACAGCAGAAACATTTTTGCATCTTGGAAGCAAAATTTGTTGCATGTAGCAATGTTTTGCATGTGGCTAAACTTTGAATCATCAGGGAACATGTGCACAGGAAACATGTTTCCTCATTTAACCAGGGCCTAAAGATAAATATTATGATGGTGGTGACGATAATGAAGGTGATAATGATGGCAGTAAAGATGATAATGATGATAGTCATGGATAATGATGATGTATGGTGATGATGTTGATGATAATAAGGGATTGGTAAGCATTTATTCATAAACTGAATTCCGTGCACACACTTCAGAAACAACAACATCGAAGAAGAGTTTGCAACTTACCCCAGATATCAGACCTGATGGAAAACGTGTTGTAAGCCAGAGCTTCAGGTGCAGTCCATTTGATAGGGAACTTTGCTCCTTGGTGAGCAGTGTAGATATCACTCGTTACCAGACGAGATAAACCAAAATCTGCTACTTTAACRTAGTTGTTTTCGCCTACCAGACAGTTCCTTGCAGCAAGATCCCTAGGATCAGAAATGAGATCTATTTAGGATATAGGAAACTGTAGATTTTATTAAGGATAGTGAAGTTGTTGCTGCTGTAATTGTAATTGCTGCTGTTGCTTCTTCTGTTATGGTTGCTACTGTTTTCATTGTTGCTGATGCTGTTGTTGCTACTACTGTTGTTATTGCTGTTGCTATTGTCCTAGCTGCTAGCATCGATGTCGTTACTCAAACATACAACATGCTTACATCATATTAAATAAATAGTCTAACATAGTACCTGTGAATAAAGTTTAGCTCCTCTAAATACGACATAGCTGATGCAATCTGTGTTGCCATGTACATCAAGGTTACAGCATCAAGCTCCTTTCCTTTACTACTCCGTAGATAATCCAACAGATTCCCATTGACCATAAATTCAGTTATAATATAGAATGGCGGTTCTCGTGTACATACGCCTAGCAGTTGGACTAGATTTGGGTGTTTGATTTCTTTCATGACGGCTGCTTCCTTGAGGAATTCRTCCACTTCCATTGTTTCTTCCTGCAGGAAATTCTCATTAAATTCTCTATTTATTTAATTATTAATGATAATGATGATGATGATGGTGATGATAATGGCAATGTTGATGATCATGGTAATTAATGATAATGATGATGATGATGATGGTGATGATGATGATGATGATGATGATGATGATGGTGATGATGATGGTGATGATGATGATGGTGGTGATGTAGAGGATGATGGTGATGGTCAGGATGATGGTGATGGTGCTGATGGTTGTGAGGATGATGGTGATGATGGTGATGATGATGATGGTACTGTAATGGTGATGATGGTGAGGTTGATGATGGTGATGATGATGGTCAATGATGATGATGGTGATGATGATGATGATGATTCTGATCCTGATGGTGATGATGATGGTGATGATGATTTTGATCCTGATGGTGATAATAATTTATGTCATCATCCAAGCGAGTGCCACCACATGAGGTCAAAAAATATTTAAACAAATTCTTTGATCAAAGTAATAGTAAGGAAACAAAATTTCTTTGAAAATTATTAATTCAAAATTTTGTGCAGTATTGACAATTGTTTACGTGCTGAAGGGTGGGGAGGGAGGGGCTCTTTTATGTCATAAAACCTACCCTAAGAGTCTTCACAGCTACAGTCTTGTTGTACTTTTTCCAGATGCCTTCATAAACCTCGCCATACTGTCCTCCACCAAGGCGGTGCTTCATGGCTATTTCCGTTCGTTCAATTTCCCATTTGTCAGGCTCAGGAGAAAACCCATAAACTGCTGGTTTCTCTTTCTTAGGGGCGGGGTAATGCAGTGTTGTCACTAATCCATCTGGATTAACCGAATGATGATGCACAAGTTCTGCTATAGTAAAAAATCGATTCTCGGAAGATACATAATACTTTGAGTCTGTCGACATGCTCACTCGGTAGTGATAAACTCTACCATCATAGCGTAATGATATTGACATCTGTCCAGGACTACTTTCACTTTCCCGTACCAGGAAACTACCATTTATACCGCTACTTAGAAGATACTCGGCAGCATTCCTGGAAATCTGACCATGGTACCAAGAGTGTTTTTCAAGACTATTGACTGGTTTTATATAACTACTGGGTACCCATCCCATTTGTCCATTAAGTAACTGTCCCTCGCACCATTCAGATGTGTCATTATATCTAAGTACCATAAGCTCTTCTCCCGACCGTATGCTAAGTTGAGTTTCGCCACCGGATTGAAAGTCATGGATGGCTATAAAGACCCGAGTGTCTTCCTCATAAGCATTAGGTGTATTGACATCCTCTTTGGATTCCCATTGTTGTATAGATTGATCAACTGGTGTTTCTGGAAGGGGACGCTTAGAAAGACTTTCTAAAAAGACAACAACAAGATGGAAATTATGAAAATTATGCAATACTGTCAATAATTTTATAAGCAAAAACCACACACCTTTTGTATAATGAATATGACATAATTTTTTGAACAAAAAATGATTTGAATAATCATATATAAATATTTATTTTCATGAATTACTGTAAATTTAATAGCTATACAAGTAAATAAAATCTAATACCCATTCACACCAAGGATTAAACATGTTTTAACGTGTTTCAACTAAACAGGTTTGGAAAGCTACCTACGAACACTGCACAATATTTGGTGAAATAATGCATGTAAACTATCCTTTGTCTTGCTCTGATAATATTTTAGAAAGATTTATTATATTGTAAGTTTCTTAAGTTTCTCAATTTTTTTTTCCTAATGAAAACATAGTTTAACCAAACACGTTTAGGTGTAAATGGGGTATAAAAAAATTAAAGATTCTCATATTTTCTAAATTCATTATCATTGACAATAAACCCATTTGTTTATTGTTTTCAGAGATCAAAGAGAAACATCAAATTTTGTTTCACTATTTCCGGCAATGAGTTTAAGCACACCTCACAGCCATTAGATAAAGCACTACATAAAGACTTAATTAATTGACAGTAATGATGCAATTATGCTTCAGTATATTGCATGTGAGCAGAGTTAGCGAGGTTTCTCCCTCATTTTCCGGATATTCTCCAAGTTCTCCAACCCTCTGCAAAAACCTAGCACACACCTTTTTGTTGTTGTTAAATTCCAATTCTATCTGTGAGTTAGCCATACTCTGAGTTAGCCATACTCTGAGTTTGAGAGGAATACCGAAGGATTCATAGTACATTTATATAATCATTATCAAAATATAAATAAATTATTTGCTATATATACAGTAAGTTATATAATATCTGTTTTTAAGCTGCCTATAATGGCCTATTAGCCTATATAAAGTTATTTCTTTGAAGTAAATTTGTGATTCTCCAAGACATTTGTCACTCTCACATGTCAGCTTGAGTTTTGCATTAAATTAAGAGTAGAAATTCTCTCATTACAAAAAAAAAAAAAAAACAGATTTAATGTAAAAAATAGATTGTTGAAAGAAAAATTCTTGGGATCATTTTGCCAAAAACTTTTTAATGAAATATGTATCATTAGTTCAAACACTAATATTATCAGTGAAGTCCACAATTTGATCATTTCATTTTTCCAATACAAAGAAAGRTAATAATGGGCTATTTCAGCTGATGAATTCTAATGACATTTTAAAGTATTATGATCACAATATAATTTTAACAAAACATCCTTTTTTTGGGATGAATTTATACTAAATTTTTGGTTAGCAGATGATTGCTTGAGTTTTAGGATGAGATTGTTAATTTATGTTTTGAATTTTGATTTTAGGTTTAAAATCTTTATGAAATTGATGTAAACTATTCATAATTGGAAGTAAAACTTATTTTGTCTACTGCATTGATTGGTGTATAATTTCGTATCAAGCAAGGAATTTATTATGAATAAAACTTAAAAATTATCAAGATAAACCACCTGCGAGCTTATATTTCACAACCACCACTTCCTGTATGGAGCTCTTCGTGAGGTTCCCTCCACATGCACTACCACTACATCCTATATTCACAACATACAACACTCAACTCACATGTTGATCTATACAGAGTGGGGAAACCGAAGAACCCACAGAAAACCCTTGTGGCAAGGGAGAGAAAAACACATCAAACAAACTTAACTCATATAATTTTGATCCAGTCTGAGCCGGGTCTCACACTCGGATCACAGGCAGGCGAGTGGTACACCACTAGGCCACCCATTCCAATTTCTATCACACAGTAGAATTACCGAAACCAATAATGATATCAAAGAGGTTACCATGAGACAAGGGAAAATTGCCGAAACAGCAGATGTGGTAGTCATGGCACATGTAGATCTTAAGATGTCATGGTTAACCAAAAATTGATTTAAAATTCATGATAAAATTCATTGCTAATATCTCTTTAAGAAATCATGAATCATAATGCTAGCACTCAAAGATCAATCATTAATCCAAGGTTAATATTTTTATATTGAGTTCTGAGTCTACAAGGAGCCTATTTGTAAACACTTTAGCAAGCATTGCGCAAGAGAGATCACGACACTGGTATCGTAATTGCTCATATTTGTCATAAACAGATAATTAAATAATTATGCCATTCTCATGCTATCAGCTATGATAAAACTTTTGAGTGGATAAATTGTTTAAAAAACCCATGGATACTTTTCAATTTTAGGATTGAAATTCCTTCAAAGAAAAATAATGAAATAAAACTAATCTCTGAGACATAATAGTGGCCTTCTACAACTCAAGTCTTAGACAAATATATTTGTTTGTTTAGAAGACACATATTGCTCACTTTATTTGAAGAGGGTGTCAGGGAAATATATRGTAGGAAGGTCTAGAAATCGCCTTAGAGGAGTTTTATTTTAATTCCTCATTTTAAAGATATCATTTGAGAATAACACACTATGTAATAGTTCAAATAGGAATTAATAGCGATGACACTGAAGGTAGTCATAAGTAGCATTGCAAATTGCAATTAAGGTTAATATTAATTGACTTCATAGGCGTAACGAATGCGTCTGTAGCCTTGCAAATAATTTTCTTAGAAAGCAATAAATTTAGAGGAGGGATTTAAGATCAAATGGAGCTCAGAGGCTAGTGATTTTTTATTTTTTAACAAGACCTTAGAGCGATCTTTCCGATCAAAAATCCCATAAGCTCATAGTCATTCGACCGCCAACACCGATCGTTCAAATAAGACTTACTGTTTATCAACTTGTGTTATGACTGGATCTATCCCCTCAAACACCAATTAAGATATTCTTTATTCACATCAAACACACAAATATCAGTTCCGTAATCTGCTTGCAATTCAAATATTCCGATCAGATGGTTTCCTTGTTTGATTTAGAAGCCAAACAAGTGGAGACATAGAAAAACTAACATGATCAAATCCTGATCTACTTTGTACATTTTGCCACTTAATTGTAAAATGTGTAGCGGTAAAGTAAAGCCGCTTCCCATTTAATATCAAGTCTGTTTAATTCAATTTTTGAAAGGATTGAAAATATGGGGTATACTTTGGAGGTATGTAGAGATAATCGATAAATGTGCCGGATTTGATAATTAAAGAAATACAGAATAGACTGAAGGAAATTGCCAATGAAGAGTAACTTGGGCATACTGACATATTTCAGAGGCAACGCTCTTCATAATCCCCGCCTGTTAATCCCTAAAACGTAAATGAAAATGTTCATTATTACCTGAGCTAGAAGCTGCATTTCTGTCCGCGGTTGAGTCGGAGACGGAAGATTTTGAACTTTTTGAAATTCTACTGAAGGCCTTAGCATTTTGTTGGCCCATTACCTCGTGCAAGCCTCGCAGAAAAACCACATAAATTGCATCGTTTTAAACAAGGACGGTCTAAAAATACGTTGAAATCCTTCATGAAGGTCTACCAAGGGACACCATGGTGGGTAGTAGCCTTAAATCTAGAGATATAAGTGAAAAAAGTCCCTAGAAGTAAGGAAGAACTGAGTCAAATGGACCAACCTCTAGTCTCACCGTGCCGTCATGCGACCCGGAAATCAGTGCTCGGCCGAGCACGCCGCGGCCAACTTTGACGTTTCTCCAATGAGAGGACTGTTCTAAATCGTCCTATTTTTATTTTTTTYCCCACTTCTCCAAAAATATATGGCTTATGATAATCTCAAAAATCGAATGGGCAAAGAAGACCAAGTTTCCTACAAGAACACACGAATGTCGATTTGAACCCGTCTTAGCTCTGTGGTTTAAACGGCTTGGTGTTATCTGCTAAAGTGTGCGGGRAAAAAAACCCCTGAATTAAAAATAACTTTGTCGTAACTTCCTTTGAAATAATCTGCACTATTTAAGATTGGTACATTCGGTTTTCTACGAGTCTATTTTGCTCCGAGCGAGCTCGGATTACTAAAGGCCCAAACGAGCCTTTCACTGACCATGAATTTGAACGCGTTTAGACGCATAGAAATGAAATACAGGGGRAAAATACCATTAATCTTTAAATTGACTTGTGCATGTTCTATTCCTTGTGTATTTTTGGATCAAAAAAAGAATGCGGAACTTTTCATACTGCAGCTAAAGTTAGCGGCTCTATCGACTGTAGCAAGGCCAGGGGGAAACTCGCCTAACAGTTTTGCTGTTAGGTACGGTACTCGACTTCAGTCATCGACTGAGATCTTTTGTTGAAACTCAAGAATTTATGGAATAGGATTGAACAAGAAACGTCAATTAAGTATAGACTAATTTACTTTATACACATTTTCCATGTTCATAGATCATTCGAGCAAAATATGAAAACTTAAGCAAAAAATTTTTCTTTCTTTCTTTCTTTCTTTCTTTCTGTCTTTCTTTCTTTCTTTCTTTTTTCATTTCCTCGCGATTTTATTGTCAGCGGTCATCCCCATCCAATCATGCGCACCATAAAGCGCGCTAAAATTCAAGATGGCGGATGTGGACAGTCCACCAAAGTAAGAGTCGCTTATGTTTATCCTTTATTTCTCCTTTCTTCTCATCCCTAAACCCTTTATATTCTASAACAAGGAAGTCTTATCCTCCATCCATGACCCTTGGTTCTTTAAGGGCAATTTATCCAGGTTTTAACATCGATTTGGACTAATTTTTGACACTAAATAACCTCTTCTATCGTTTTGCAGAAAGAAATCAAGACCTTCACTGGATCCTCAGGTAGGAAATGTTCTTCGTATRAAATAATTTTTGGAATACAGAGCTCTATTTATATGAAATATATTTGATCTTTATTTTAACTTTTGTCTTGAATTAATACACACTTTTTAAAAGTRCATAAACCAATTGTGATGATGTGACTAACTACATGTAACGTTTCTGACAAAGTAATCTTTATTTATCATTTTTAAATTTCTAGATTCTTATTAAGATATTAATGCAGGTTTTTATTTATTTCCGTAGGAAGGAGATGGAGGATTCAAGTTTACTAAAMAAAGCAAACGTACCAGAGTAAGTTAAACTACATAATTAGAAAAAATCATAATAAAGCGTTGGAAAAGGAGCAAATGTAGATGCCTTCAAATAATATCCCCATCCTCCTTGCCCTTCTTCCTTATGGGCTGGTTTACACGGTAGGATTTTCCCTTATAATTGTAACGGGCAATGCTTGCGTCAAGTTTTAGCTGTAATTTACTGTTGTAAACAAGTTGTAGGGTAAATTTACGCAAAGCAATTTGTGTCATCAGTATCTTAGGCACGACATCTGTGAGAAAAAATTGTGCTGTGTAAATCAGTCCTATGTAATACCCAACTTTGAGCCTTAAAAATGCGTATTAATGTTAATTGATGTGCAGTTATAATGGTTAATTCTAGCTTGGGCCCAAGAAAAGTGCAATCCCTAAAAGTTTGAAAAAGAGAAGATCCAGTTTTGTTCGTGGACGAAAGGAAAGAAAATCRCTTCCTCCTCCAGTTACTGCAGAAATACCGAGTATGTACATGTATCTCTCATGAGTATTCTGGTCTTTGGGGGATTAGGTACCACAGGAAGCCCAAATCATCTTCATAAACAGCTACATACTATGCACCAATGTCACCATCATTATGTATCATTACAAAGATTTGACTGGATGATTTCCAATTATGGCCGGATATTGGCTGATGACCAGTTATTTTTAGCTCTGCTATCATCATTGCGATCATCATCATCATCATCACCACCACCAAGCACTCTAACATTACGCACTATTATATTATATAATATTAATGTTGCATGGTAGCGTGGAATATRATAAAACATTATCATCATAATCAACATGTACCATTGCTATGATCATTACCACCATCATCATTATTAATGATAATTATTATTACTATTATTTCTGATAATAATATACTGAAGATTCTTCATTTATTTCAGATCTTTATGTTAATATCCCTGCTGAATTACCACCCACTGCAAGACTGAGAAAACTATTTGATGCAAGTCTAGAGGTAAAAAATAATTGATTTAGTGTATTATTTCATCTAAGAATAAAGTCTGCTTTACACCTACATCCCAGACAGTTGGGCAGACATTAGTTCGATTCCCTTCAATTTTAACATATCACCTACAGTGCGACGCACCCATTTTATTTTTTACTAGTTAGCCAATCAGACAGAGAGGATTTGTGCATTTGCATGTGAACTCACTCAGTGTGACCCCAAATATATTTAAGTATAGATGAGGCAGTACTTTTTTCATGTTTTCGTGTTCTTTGCRCCAAAGAACTCAAGTACATAAATGGCTAGGAATTTGACTGGATGATACCTATTTTGGTCCCTTTGCTGGCTAACCCTGGATACYTTYGTAAAAAGTCTTTTAATCAATGGAAACACTTGGCGGGAAAGGAATCAATGGCATTGGTAAAAAAATRAGTTGGGTGACTATGGTTAGGCRCATTGCACTGTAAAACTATCTAATATTGATGGAGACTGAAACACCAAATGTCTGTCCAATCTGTAGCTAAATAAKTTTAATACATTAACTGATTGTACTTTTTKTCAGCTTGCCATCACAAAACTAGCTGAAAAGTCCAGCAATGTTATGACAGATTTACCAGACTTTCAGGAAGAAGGTATCATTTAAAAGATAGAAATGTAATTAGATTTAGGCTCCAGCAATTTTTTTTGAAATGCTAGGTCTATACAAAACAATATAACTAAAAGAYTATACCAAAGTCTTGTCATATATAACTATATCTAAAAGGGATTTTGTTTTTTATTTCTTAGCCAAAGCAGTGTTTAATCACCTGCGGCAGCTTATATCTGAAAGTGACATAATCGATGAGGCCTGTCAGCCCTCGGCAGAGGAAAACATGTAAGTTCATGCTGTATGACAATGGGTAAACAGGACTAAAGAATAACGGCCAGTCATCACACAATATAAAGCCAGAATTGTAACATGTTCGGTCAAATCATTGCCTTGACAGTCATATTGACCAATGATGTTGATCATAGGGTCAAAATAACACCCAGACATCAGAACTTTTTGCCCAGAATAGTCCCCTTCACAGTTCCCTGCGCCATTGAACAATAATTATTCACATGTCTCTATTATTGCAAGCTCACTGTTCATCTCACTTCGATGCAAAGGCATTGCTACCTTTCAAGATGGTGCAGGRAACTGTGAAGGGGACTATTGGAACTCATCTGGTCAAATCTTTGCCTTGCCRGGTGTTTTGACCAGTAGTTATGGCCAGAAATGAGGTATGGCTGAGTGAAAACTAATTTGCCAGTCATCATGACCAGCAGCTTACCAACCATTATTTTACTGACTTTCTACTCTAACCATGAACACTCCAGTTTATTCTTAATATTTTTCATTTGGTAAATATACTTTTTTTTTCTTTCTTTTTTATCACTTCATCTCCTTGATTAACTTTCAATACATGTAACTTGAATTCTATTGTTTTTGATTTTGTAATCTGATTGATTGACAAACCCGAGTATTCATGGTTAGAGTAGAATGACAGTAAGCCCTGTGGTCATAATGATTGATGTCAGACTCACCTGCCGTTATTTTTTAGCCCTGGGCAATGATTGGAACATAATAAAATCCATTTTACAAGCAGCCTTCATTTCTACATATATTTTGTAAATGCCTTGAAAACTTCAATTCTTACAGGGTAACAGTGGTACCAAACCCTCAAAACAAACAGTTAGAAGAAAGTGCYGTAACTTGCAAGCTAAGTACTCAAAGGTAAATGTTAATCAGGGGGGGAGGGGTGTAGCATTAGTGACCTCGCCTCTATAACCTCTCCATTTATTAATATCAACTTTGCACATCCAACAGACTACAAAAGGAGGAAAGTAAATGGAATGAACTGCTGCAGGAAAACAAGCAACTAGAAGAAAAAGTTAAGCAGTATGTRTTTTCTTGGACCACGTAGCATGTTACRTCATAGCCGCTGTGTTGGTTGAGGATAACAAAGCATTYCTCATTAGCTTTTCTCGTAGGATCRACAACATGGTGSCTGTTTATATCTCGAGGGATTTTGAGTCATGTGATTACACCCCAAGAATGGCATAAAGTTTTGATTMATCTTTCCTTTCATAACACATGTTAAAGTTAGTTAGTTCTCTATCTCTTAAGCCTGCAACCAGGGCCCATTGTACAAAGGGTGGATAGCATTATACAAAAGATAATTCTTTATTCAGCTAGTGTATAAGATGACGCTGTTATTCAATAAATTTATCCTCTGGTTAAGATTTATCAGTYAGATAACCGGGCCCTGGTGAATACCGGTGCATGTATTTCAATCCCTAATGAATTCAACTGATTATAATTGTTTCCTGTACCATTGGTTTCAAATGCCTTATTTGCCTTCATGATAGAATGGGATTTTGGCGGCAGTAAAGTAAAGTATATATTTTTTACTACATTTTTGGAAAACACAAAGAGCATGGGTCAATGGAATGTGCCTAAACCTACTTTGTTATGACAAGGATTCCAGGTGTGCTATYGCAAAGCACTGGTAACAAAAGTTACTACTTTTACCATTATTTGAAGAGAACTGTTAGCAGACATGTTATTTTCCTGTAGGGAGCTTCAAGARGAAGAGTCAAGTGGAAGCAAAGAAGAATGCCCAGATTTCCTATCAGAGTCGCAACACAAGCTATTGTCAGGAAAACCAGCTTTCAAAAGCCTGGCAGAGGAGAGGGAAAACCTTAAACAGAAATCACTGTTAATGGTATGTTGTATATAATGCAGWAATGTTAGTAAAGGATCTCTGCTCAACCAATCATGTTCAGAGCTTGGGCTACCTGTGTCCAGTGCTTGGAAGTTAGTCTCTCAGAATGGGATGCCAAAAACCTTTTGGACTTGTTTTTGTAGTCACTAAAWATTCATTTTGCAGTACGGGAAGGTTTTGTAATTTAATTGAAAAATCCCAATTAYGTTATCCTGCTGGAAGAATCTCCTTAACTCCTCCATGCCAAGAAGCAAGAAAACATGGAGACTATGTCTATTGCAACTAACCATTGTACATGCTCAAATCAAGACATGATTTCGGCAGTCTCCTTTCGCTCTCTTGATCCAGCATRGAGGAGGCTCTGTTTTAAAAAAGGGTACAAGCACGTTTATTCATACAAACTTTTAATGCTTCATTTACAGGTTGATAAAATTTCTGAAGTGGTTACTGGCTTACAGCAATACAAAAAAGTGACAGAAGGTTACCTTAACAAGCAAACACAGTCATTTGGTAAGACATGGGATCCCTTTTTTAATAGGACGTTTGCATGATGGCRTCATTTTACTACCACTACCAAGATGCTTTGCGAATTTTCTTTCTTATTTAAATTCGTATTTCCTCATTTGAGAATAGTAAGACAATTGGTGCTAATTAACTGAACAAAAGAAAGTGTGCAAGGGAGTCTGGTAGTGGGAATCAAATGACGCCATCATGCAAATGTTCTATTACTTTACAAAAGATGCCCTATCACTACTTTACTAATCTAATCCCTTTACTTTTGACGTCCCCAGGTGCCAAATCACTAAATGTTATTAATGACATGGGTACCCCAAGAACCCTTATCCGAGGTCATCTGACTGGACACTAGGATAGCATTCCCCTGCCTGTTTTATACACAGTTAGCCCAATTTGTAAATAAGGCTGAAATATTAACTGAAATTGAAATGAACACGCAGGTAGAAAAAAAAGATAGCTTTTAATAACTTGACATACCCATTATTGCTTTTTTTTACCTGTAAAGCATGAGAATGGATTTAACATCTAATAATGTAATGGCAGTAACGACAGCATATAGTACAGACTAAGTAAAATGAAACCTTTCTTTGTTAAAACATATAACTTTAATATTGAATTCATAATAACGAAATGAGAACTATCATGATTGCAAATCTTTAGCCACATACATGCAGAGCAAGATAACAGCATTGATGGTCAATTTAAAGGCTCAGACACGCAATCCAACGTCGCTTGCAACGGAGAAATTTATTGCAATGACCGTGTGTCCACCTGTGCAACTGGGAAACTCTTGCACACATCTTTGCCAGTGACGTCGCAAAAGTCAATATTGTTTCTACTTCTGCAATGCCACATGCAACAGTTGAACTGGTGGACACGTGGTGCGACTTCCCCATTGCAAGTAATTGCATTGCATTGTAGTTATAAGTTTCCAAGCCTTAACAGGTATGCACTCTGCATACAATAAAGATGTCCTCATGATGTTCACATCAAATTCATACATATAGTCAATTCAAAAAATGTTGTCGTCAAGYAACTCAAGCCTACGCGACTAGACCGAAAGGAACTATGGGTAGTAATCATTGAAGCTGAGTTGACTGCATAATTTTATCTGACTAGTTATGCCTGGTTTACAGCACGAACGTTYGTAGGCGAGCRGGAAGTGTTGAAGGAGACGTTTTTTAAATGCCTTCATATTTTCGAAATTGTGAACTGAATCATAACTACCTTGTTTTTCTTTCCCTAAACCCAAAGACATGCATTTGATGGATTGTTTCTCGCCATCATTATCTTATTACTAGCGGGAACAATTTATTCAGAACGAATATTTAAACCGCTTCAGTGATTTTTACCCATATTTCTTTCGGTCCAGTCGCATAGGCTTGAGCCAGTCGACGACAACGTTTTTTGAATTGACTGTATGTGAAATGCTGAACAGAACTATGAAATTGGCCACAGAGTTTAGGGACAACGTTAACATTACATTTTTCACGAAAGTATAAAAAGTTCTTTTTTCTTCCAAAAATTTCTTAATCTGTCTTGAGAAAACATTTGTGGCAGATTTGGGATGGTCTAAAGGGGGGTGTGGCAGTTATTTAAAAAGCAAGTATATACTAAATACTACTGTCTTTAGATTTTACATTACTCTCATTAATCCATATTTTTGCAACATTAAAACTCCAAAGGGTGGGCTAATTTTGGGCATAATGTTTTCCCATTTCAGACCATGTCTCTTAAAAATAAGATTCGTTTGAGTTGTATCCTTATAAATGTTCCTTCTCAAGYRCAACCATTAAACAAAGAAACCATACTCAAAAGAATGTGATTCAAAATGAACAAGCACTATATGCCTAAGCTAAAGAGGTCTTGCAACTCCTCATTCCTACCTGTTCAAGCTGTTTTATAGTGCAAATAAATCTTCACTATGTCATATCATGAAAGCGAAGCAGGAATAAAGAAAGATAATTCATTTCAACAAATCCATTTTTGCAATTCATCCTCATTTGCTTGTCCAGCTTTTGCGAAATCCAATTATGAGACTTCTTTAAATATTGTAATGGCTTTCTTTCTACATTGCATTTTTTTTAGCATGCAGATTATTTCATAATGGTCCAGCCATCACAGTATTAAGTTAATAAGCCTAGAATATAATAGTGTTTATTTGTATTGACGTGTCAATATTGACATTAATTGCATGCATATGTACACATATCATTGGCGTCTCATGTTGCATTTATCARCTGAGCATTGCTATGGCAATAAACTGGAATCCCAAGTCATTTTGTTAGAATAYGTTGTCATGGAGATAGCATTGCTATGGTAATTCCATGTAAAGATAATTAAGGTAGCACCAGCCTAACATGTTGTCATGGTGATAKTGGCACTAATATTTTATTGCGTTGCTGTAGTGATCCCACAAAGATAAATAGCGCAGGTCTGTTGTCATAGTGATAGTACTGCTGTTATATCGTCTTTGTGTTGTCATAGTGATACCATAATGGATAAATAGCGCAGGTCTGTCATGTTGTCACAGTGTTTTGTAACAAATAAGTAGCGCTGGTTAGTTGTCATGGCCAGGGAATCATATTGTTTCCATAAATGGATCTGATTTGCGATATGCGGCTTGGGGGCTGTCGTCATTTTGATCAGGGTTGTCGTTTGTTTCATGTGTAAAGTAGTCRGCAAATTCCTACGGCAAATCAAACCAACATTAGCAAAACAAAATCAATCTTAAAGACATTCAATTTTGTTTTTATTTAATTCATTTTCACTTTTTCCTACATTTTCAGTCAATACAGAATTTTGTTTTGCCTTGTGTGAATAACAGAATAAATCCATGCAAGGGAAAGAGCCTTATGGAACTAAGACTTTTATTCCTACACACTCTGGTAATCCTCACCTGGTGCACAAAATTCTGTTTTAAGTGAAAATGTACAGACAAAAATACACTCTGTTTATAAGTTTTACAGTACTTCCCAATTACACATATGCAAAATTAAGCATTAAAACCAAATAGGGTTTTGGTAGACATCAATACRAAGTATTTCCATGACATTGTTGGAAAACGTTTTCAAGCACGTGCCTACGTATTGTCATGGAAATACCTTGTTTGATGTMAACCAAGTTAACCCACTTTGTCACAACAGCAAATTGCATGATTTAATGTGTGTAATAGGGAAGCAATATTTCAATTGTTTATCACTATGCTTGTGGGAAATGATCTTTCCATGTGCTCCAGACAGAAGTGATTCAAAGAGGACTATCCACAACCTCAGCCAGATAAGCACCCCACATATTATGTAAGAGAACCGAGATTCTGGAATCTCCTGAACTCAAGTTATGGATTGCAGAATTTGGAATTCACACTAGATTCTCTTACATTATGGGCATGTAAAATTCAACATATTAAATAAATGTCACTAAATAGTTAGTGCATTCAATTTCTTAAAGATTTCTTTGTTATATATAACAAAGTAACTTGATTAGCTTATCTTGAAAAAAATATAGGATTTTAAGAAGTCTTTGAGCTGATTAATTAATAAGAATTCATAGAATGTTTACTAATTATCATTATTATTAATATATATTAACATATAATGGCATGGTTAAGTCCTAACATCGACGCCATCTTTAGTCCCTTCTGATCAAAAGGGGCTAAAATAAGTTTCTTAGTGAATGGAATATTCGCTTATACCATGCAAATAATTTTTTTGAAATGCTATCCACAAARTATTAATAATTCTTAACTAACAATTTGTTAAATTGATTAATTAATTAATCTTTAAATAAAATTAATAAGTCTTAAGTAATTCAATTCATTTTTCACAGTAACATAATAGAGACCTTTAAATCGGATGCTAAGTACGAGAACGAGTATGAGTTAACTTTTAAAGAGAGGCACCATCTTTTTGCAGTCGCGATCGTGTACGTAGATTAAAACTTTAGATTGTAAAAAATCGGAAATCGACTACGATTTAGTGTTAACCACATACACAGGACCAATTTTAAAACTCTTACTCGTACTCGATCTCATACTTATCATCAYATCTAAAGGTCTCTTATAGTGAGAAGGGCGGTTAGTTTGATTYTCAAACATTCGGCATTGTATGTGTGGTAAAAATGTACAGTTACATGTATTCTYGGCAATATGCATAAGCCCTGCCCCCCTCACATGATTGATGGAACAGAAAAACTCGATTTGATTTTAAAAGGTAAAATATTTCAACTGACAGACCTAATAGACAAAGAATTTTAAAAAGGTCTAAGTGATTCAACATGTGTCTATAAGACCCTTTTATCAAATTCTCCAAATTTTAGGTAGGGACAGTTACTACCAGTCTGCCTTTGAACCTAAATTAGATTCTTCGTGGTTTTGCACTTACCTACAATGTGCTTTCTATAATGTTGTCCACCGAAAAAAGATATTTAGACATTACACATTTAGACATTTAGACATTAATTACACATTTAGACTAAAAGAAATATCAAGTGTTATCTCAAACCTTCTGTCATAAAACAAACGCTGAAATACAATTCTCATTCTTAAATCCTCACTAAATGGTTGGGGCATTCTGGAATTTCGATTCACGAGTTGAATTTTACATTTAAAGTTCAGGCTCACTTAAGTCTAAATGTCTGAATGTCTAAATATTGTCTTTTTTCAGTGGACAACATTAATGACATTGACTGTAACTAATTTTAAAACTAGTTATTTACTGGATAATGCATGTTACTCTTTTTACGACTAAATGGACTGTCGGCTAAACCTCTAAAAATGTTTTAATAATAAATATTATTTAACTATTAAGTACCTTAAAATATCTTTAGAACATGATTTTTTTWAAATTGACCGTTTAAAATTCCTCAACTAAGGCTGCATTCACACAGTATTGGACAAATTTTTAACCAGTCCAAATTTTGACCTCTACATGCTGTTTACATGGAACCCTTTCTTTAATCATATAAAAAATATAACACTTATTTCAATAAAGTTAGTCACCTGAAAAGCTATAAAGCTGAGGCCGACCAGGATTATGGGTGGATTTATTTTACACGTTCAACCGCTTGATAACTGTTCATGGACTTGCGAATCTTTTACAGGTTACAGTCTCACCTCTTCTGAGCATCATCGAGCTGCAGTTTGTATTAAAAAAGCTTTGTATATGTATGCTTTTTTGATATGAAAAGTTTCCCATGATGCTCAGTGATCTCAGCTTTCTAGGTTTTTGTTGACTAACTTTATTGAAATAAGTGTATGTTCTGCTTACATGAAACCAGATCCAAATTTGCACAACTAGGCTTACAAATTTTTGTTTAGATAGCTCTGTCACATGTAAATGGATCCCCTAAACATACAAGTTGTTTGACCGGTTAAAAATCAGTCCTGTACTGTGTAAATCCAGACTGAGTCTGGAGGGAAAAGAGCGGCTGTCAAACAGTCTAGAATTTTTAGATTTTTGAATTTTCAAGTTATTTTTACGTATTCTCTTTTCTACAATTTTTACACTATAATTATTTCTGATTTTAGAAAAATGAATTTTGTTGGTGAGATGCATAGAAAATAAATGGTTGCCCTGGAGATTATAGAATTGCTCACTTGGGCACCCTGTGGTAAAAAGTGTGGTATACTCCTGGGAACTTTCTCTCATCTGATTGGTCAACCAAGGCTGAGGAAGAAAGGCTTACCACAGGGTTCCCAAACAAGCAGCTCAATAATCCCCTCATAAATAAATAGCATATTGCTTTAAAAAGCTGTGAAAAATACAAATAAAAGAAACAACGAGACAAAATTATAAACAAAGAAACTCAGAAAAAATCTAAGTTCTCAATTTTTCTGAGTATTTTTCATTTTCATTTCTCATCATTTCATTTATTTATGATTCATCACATATGTGTCTTAAATTTTGCTGTGAAAATATTCTATTCGAAGTTTATGGAATATGAGTTATGCAATATTATGATGGAATTTTACCTACGTCATTCATGATGTACAAATTATGAAATTTATGGTATATGAGCAACATGATGAAGGTATATGTGTAAATGATGGTTATATGACCTACAGTATGTCATTCTTTAGATATTGTGGTGTATATAATAAATTATGCAATTAATGAGGACAAATGAGGAACATCCAACAGCACCTCATGAGTGTATAAATTACGTATCGCAAGGAGTGTGAACAACCTCATTCATGGTGTATGGATATGATATTTATAAGGGCGCTTCCTACGGCGCCTGCGTATGAAATACACATACATAGCCACAAACACTAGACCTATTGCAGTGTACACCACAAGACATAGACTTGTATCATATTGATTCAAGCCCAGACTAAAGGCTGTGGTCAAGAAAGTGGGCTTGCTTACTTGATCTACGTCCTCCAATTCAGCGGGAACATTGGCAGGAGGTTTGATTCTAATGTTGTCCACACCGTAGTGATTCTTGAGGAATTGAAGGACGACTTTGCGATTCCATGAGCCATCTTTTTTATGGCAGTCCTTGCACATCTCTGGCGATGGAAACTGGATCTTGGGGTGAGCAGGGTCTTCGCTGGGTTTATTATGGAGACGTTTATTAGCCTTGTTATGCCCTTCCCATAACCATAGTATTGCATCGTCATGGGTAGTAACCTCATTTTCAATATTCTTTGCCATGTCAGTGAAATGTTTTACACATGAGGTACAACCAAAGAAGTTCTTGATGTAGTCTCGGATGTAACTAAGCGTTTTAAGTCCATCGTCCTCTTCGCCATTGGCTTTCCTCTTAGAGCCGCAGTTGACAGTCAGTGTGTGGAAGAGGGTCCACAATGAGCAAGGGTAGCCACGGTATTGGGCCTTACTACCTTGGCAGGCATGCCATCGGTGCTTTTTGGTCAGGTAGGCATGGCCGGGCTGAAGATGAAAAACATGACACATTAAAAACTGAATCTATTTGAAGTGTACTATCAAAGTTTAAGAGCATTTTTCATATAACTGTGAAAATCTAACTGGTATTATGAATGTGTCATGACCGTGACAGTGCTGTGTTGAAGACTGTATTCTGATTAGACAAGCAATGACCTCACATGTTCTAATTGGTTCAAAGAATGCTGTCAATTCTATACCAATGACTGTGCTGGTGCCATGCAGTCACACAAAATCTATGGAATCATTAATTTTTTAATGTCAAAACAAAGTGGCTATCGCACTGCCATTTTTCTTGCTAAAAAGCTACATATTGAAATCAAAATGTAATTCTCTGTGCATGGGAACTAAGATTCAAGTCAGAATTGAATGTTTTATATGTGCTGTTATTCATGTACAAAACTTTTGAAATCTCCCATGTAACAATAAATTTGTCAATAGATGTAACACTGCTTATAAAAAAGGGAGTCGCATAATTTGGTGTCCAACCCTGGAGGTGTTGCCTGCAGCATTGTATGTGAGCAGAAAATGGAATGTGCAACACCATATGTGAACATAGTATCTTTGCAATCAAAATGAAAAACGAGGCATGAGGTGTAAATGACCAAGATGTTTACTGATACATCCCTAGTGGAGATATCGCACTACACACGAAAAGGTGTTACTGTTACAATATTAGCTTACGCAGTTGTAATTAGATACTTAGAGAAGTGATTGTTTGATTAAAGACGTATAACTATTTCCCCACCAACACGAACACGTCTTGAAACAGTTACATCCTGATCAAGGGAGTGACATGTTTTAGCATCTGTGCACCCCTGCCTCTCCCCTAGATTTTATGTTTTACCTGTTGTATTCTGTTGACAAGGCCCAAGAAGTAATCTGAAGTCATTTTGTTGCCAAACAATCTGGCTGAGAGACGTGTGTGAAGCTTACTGAAGAACATGCGTACGCTTGATTTGCCTGGAAAACACTACAACACAATTCATAGATTTTAATGTTTGGTCAGATGATGTAAAAATAGATAGAAAAAAAGAGGAAAAGAAAGATGCATGAACGAAGTCAGGATGGTGAACATTGAATGGAAAATGGACAAACGGGTGGACAAATAAAAGATAGTCAGAAATAGCAGATTATCTGAATTCACAGACAAACAGACAAATAAACTTTACCCGAGACAAAAAGACAGACACCATTTCACTGAAAAAGGTCCCAAGATTCAACAAGTATCACTCCAATTTCAGATATTTTGGAAGTGTTTGAATGTCTTTCTAAATTACTAAATAATATATACTTGCTGATGAGATATTATAGTGTATCTTTTACAGCAGAGCTTAAAATAACAGCCAATCATTTCCTGGTCAGTACAACTGGCCAAATTAGTTTTGGCTCTGTCATACCTTGTTTCTGGCTCAACGTAACTACATAGTCAAAATGACCGTCAAGGAAAAGATTAAACTGGACAAGTTATGATTCGGGCCAGACATTGTCCAACCACCGGCTGTTATTTTAAGCCATGTATAGTCACCAGCCCTCCACATCCATTTATTGGGTCATTGAGTAGTACTGATGGTCATGCCTCACCTCTGCTACTAGACCTGCGAAGTTCTTCAGTGCCAAGTAAGCTTTGTTTTTGATAATAGGTTTGTTAGGCACTTCATTCCAGATCATGAACGACAGGCTGCTGACCATGTCTAGCATGTACACCTCAGAGCTGTGTAGAAAAATCATACATGAGTAGTAAACATGGGTGGTGTGCACTGCTATTGCTAAGGCTCTCGACAATGTGACCCAGGTTTGAATCCTGCTGGTCTTGGTGTCGTATTTGAGTAGAGTTGTTTGTGGGTTCTCTCCTGTGCTTTGAGGGTTTTTCTCCATGTTCTCTGGGTTTCCTCCCTCCTCAAAAATCAACTTTCAAATTCCAATAGGATCTCTGGGCTTACACCTAGTTGGAGGCTAGCTCTAATGTGATTGTCCCATGCTGTGATACAACAGCTAAAGCTTCATAGATTTAGAACATACACTATTAATTATACATGAACAGCATGTAGATAGAATGACACACTGTAACATTAAAATGCCTTCCCATAAGAATGGTTATTGTATTGGAGGGAAACACACAGTATACACTTACAGTGCATAACGGTACGGCATGTGGTATCATTGAAATGGATTTCCATAAGAATGATTAATATATAAGAGGGAAACATATCATTGGTACTGACGTACTGCACAAACATGGTAAGATATGCATACTGTAACACTGAAATGGCTTCCCCTGAGAATGACTATTGTATAAGTGGGAAACATACTACAGTGTATACTGACTTTACAACACAAACATAGTATGACATAATGTAAAACTGCAATGGCTGGTGGTCATGGTGTGACCACTATTTGAAGCAGATTTGGCTTATTGAAACCCAGCAATTCTTACCTGCTTCCAGTATGTTTTTCATTTCCTAATCTTTGATGGTGCAAATCAGAGAAGTGATCCATTGCCTTTTCCACAGCTTCAATGGGAGGGAAGCTCTTGACCTTGAAGTCATAACTGTGTAGTGCTTTCTTAAATTCTGCATGGTTTCTTTTCATCCTGATTTAATAGAAACAATAGTTATAAACTAAAGTACAAATTAAACAAGTTAAGAGTTATATTTGCACTTTTTCATTTTGACATAAATTTATGTCCAGCAACAAATATTTCTCATGGCGTAGTCTTTCATTTTGACATAAATTTATGTCCAGCAACAAATATTTCTCATGGTGGAGTCTTTTATTTTGACATAAATTTATGTCCAGCAACAAA